GACCGTGACTACGAAGCCAATCGTAGGTCCAATAACCTTACAATGACATGGGTTCTGATCGCTATTTGTGGTCGTGTGGTTAGTAAAGGCATGGACATTCAGCTCGCGAATTACTTACGTTCCGCACTGGATGCACAGCGGCACAGGGACGAAGTCGCACATGTTGACAGGAGGAGGACGATAGAGACGCTAGGAGTAGATTCGCTTGTTTGGAAATACGAGATGCAGTGCTGCAAGTCGCTGAGGGGATGCAGTGGACAATAAAGATGTTGGAAGTAGGAAGGCTGACAGGAAGTCGCGATGCTTGTTGTCGCGCTAGTGTCGTCATCGGGCTTCGATTCGCGATCGCCGGGAGACACGCGTCAGCCGCAATGCGCTTCTTCAATTCGATCCTCTGCATTCACCAACAAGGCTTGCCCTGAACCTGACCTAGCTAATGTAGCTATTTACAATATGCGTTTTCGCGAACCTGATTCCGGAGTATGTTCCAGACCAGTAGATGGCAGCTGTCTGGTACCTGCCAGTCTGCTCGAAGGCCGGAGATGACGACGCAGATTCCTAGTAAACACAGCCTCCTACTACGTGACATAGTCCATCCTACTGCTTGTGTCTTCTGTTGAGTTCCAGGAGGTCGGTAAGAACGCGCCAAACGAAGGAATACACTCTGAGACGTTGTTTGTCGCGAATCGGGATTTTAGGCGGACAGTCATTAACACCGCAATCAGCCATCAGTCTTCCATCTCTTCCCGTATCAGCTCCACCTCGACAGTCCTTTGGCCCTCTTGGATCTTGCCCTTCAGTCCATCGTTGTATTTGTCGAAGCAGAGTCTCCATAGGCCCGGCTCGCCTTCACTCTCAACGGCGATAAAGCCCTCCCAGTTCTCGAAGGTGTAGCGCTTCTCTCCGTTTGAGCCGACGCGGGCGTCGAAAGGCCCAGCCTGCCCCTCCTCTGCGTCAACGCGTAGTCCATGGCTGAACTGGAAGATGTCGGATTCGGTATCCAGATAGACCCAATTGAGCTGCGGCGGGTTATCTGAGATCGTAGATACGATGCCTTCGTAATCTTTCTTTGGAAAAGGGAGATAGTAGCCGGTGAACGGGTGATGCGCTGGCCCTTCGTATGTCGATAGTTGGACGTACAACCTGCCGCCGCATAGTACGACTCGACTATTCTTGAACAACTCTTTGCGATCCTCCGGCGTTCTCATGGTCGCTCGACATCGCATGTGACATTTCTCGCCTTTCCAGTCGTCGTCCTCCTCCTCAGCCTCTTTCTTTGCGTTTTCCGTTTGACTTTGCAGGGTCAGAACGGATGTTGCGGTCATAGGGACCGTTCCCACGAGAGCCAGGAGGCCGAACACCATTTTTTCAGTCTTTTGATAAAGAGGCGGTACGTTGGGATAATTTCAAGGTTGTGCTTAGGTACAAAGTGTAATATGTGCTGACTGGTGAGGTAGCACATGCGGTGCGTCGGAAAACCCTACATCACGACGCGACAAAAAGCAATAGATCACAATCGCACTTCATGCATCTCGCGTAAAAGCCCATGACGAAAGTCAAGGCGATCATCATGTGGCTGCATGAGCAAAGTTACAAAGCCAATCAAGCAGTAGTGCGCGGCTAACTTCCGGTACCCGCTCCACTTAGTTCCAGATGATCGACAGATCAATAGTGAATGCCGGTGCCAATGACGAACAACAAGCCTCATATGGCTGATCCTTGGATTTCATGAGTTATGAGCACACTTTGGGTGGGAGGCTATAACCCTATTGAGGAATTCTAATCGAAGCTACAGCATTAGCCGGTTGCTTTACTCTTCTCCTGCATTAGATCTGTGAGCAAGCTCGAACCACAGGCAATACAATAACCAATTCAGCACTCATGCTCGCGAAGATCACCTCGCCGACCCGTCGATCGATGATGTACCTGCGGCTGATAGATGCGGGAGCTTCGGACATGTCCGTCCAGCACCTCCGATCGAGAAGTTTATCAACCGAGACTTGCTCGCATAATCCATCGGAATCTACTCCTTCAAACCCTCCCTACCAACACTCTGAGTTCTGGCGTGGTCAGCACAACTCCCGCATCGCAGGAAAGCGAAGATACCGCGTTTGACTATACCTCCACCGCACCCCCAACTCACTCCACCGCAAACACCGGACTCCGAAGTCGCAGCAGAATCTGAATTCAAGATGGCGGACGCGACCAAGAAGTACGCCAGTCACATCCGCAATACCTCTTGTCATGCCATATCTAACATATTCATAGCCTCACCGACACGGCCAACAATGCCACCGGCGGCCGCGACGGCGGACCTGGTGACACCCTTGGCAAACTAGGCAGCGCCACCAGCGCTGTAGCACCGAAGAACAAGAACAAGAAGAAGAAGGGTGGCAATGGCGACAACGAAGGGGAAGACGAAGAGACCACCGAGGGTTTCGGTCTCGACAATGGATCTGATGTGAAGGGTAGCTTGAAGGTGCACATCAAGTTAGACCTAGAAGCGGATATCAAGGTCTACGCGAGGATCAGGGGAGACATCGCGATTGGTATTTTGTAAGATGGAATGGCCTCAAAATCCGAATAGCATATTGTGTGTCAAGTTCTGGGTCGCGACAGTTTAGGCATTGATCTTTTTCTCGGATCCTTTTCGCAAGTAACTCGAACCGTTTGTTGCTTCATGTCATGTGTTAAAGCTGTGGGAAAGGTGACATAAGTGAGTTCGTGATGCTGAGTTGCTGCAGGGCGTACTTTCTAGATATGAGATGTGACCTTTCCTGCCTCGGCTAGAAGCGCTGGACCCTGAACGTCAGGCTGCATACCAAAAATATGCTGAGCGTCATCCACCATGTCGCCAAACAATGCGCCGGCCGCTACCCCACGCCTTTCCAGAGTTCCAACAGTCGCTACATCGATTATTCTGCTCACGGCGCGACTTCCACAAGCTCTCGAGGGTTCCGCGACGCGTACAAGTGCGGAAAGCGTATGGGAAGAAAGGCAACATGGCGGGGTATGAAGACTGGTCGCAACAGCAATTGATTGCGAGAATACAAGAATTAGAGAAGCAAGTCGGAGGGAATACCCAAGGCGCGACTGAAGAGAAGCCCCCGGTGCCTACGAACGAACAGACATCACCACCTCCAGACTCGCCAAAGTCATTAGCCTTTCGCAGAGCCAACAAGCCGCCACCGAAGGCGTTCGATGCCTCGAGATACAGCACGCGGTTGATCGCACTGAAATTTGCATATCTGGGGCAAAAGTACAATGGATTTGAGCATCACAATAACAACACCACGCCATTACCTACAATCGAGGAAGAAGTCTGGAAGGCGCTGATCAAGACGCGGTTGATAAGTCCTATACCTACGGAAGGTGACGAGAGAAGATATGAAAGAATCGATAGAAAGACCTTTGCAAAATGGGATAGGGAAGGTGCGGATGTAAACTGGGATGGCTGCGAATACTCCAAGTGTGGAAGAACAGATCGGGGTGTCAGTGCTTTTGGGCAGGTCATTGGGGTGAGGGTTAGAAGTAACAAGCCCAAACCTGTAGAAAAGATGGGAGGCGAGGAGGAAGTGGACAACGAAGAATCATTGCCTTCTTCAAACGATACCCAGACCATCCCATCAAAGCCGTTCAACGATCTCACCGACGAATTACCATACATCCAACTTCTAAACCGCGTCCTTCCTCCCGACATTCGCGTTTACGCGTGGTGCCCAAATCCACCAGAAGACTTTAGTGCACGCTTCTCCTGCAAAGAGCGGCGATACAAGTACTTCTTCACCAACCCTTGTTTCGCGCCCGTACCCGGCTCCTCTGGTCTATACAAACCCAGCGCATACGGTGCCACCACGGCAGACGACCAAGAAACGATGCGCGAAGGCTGGCTCGACATCGAAGCCATGCGAAAAGGATGCAAAGAGCTAATCGGCCTCCACGACTTCCGCAACTTCTGCAAGATCGACGCGAGCAAGCAGCTAACCAACTTTCAACGGCGAATCTACCACGCTGACATCGAGGAAGTCTCTCCACTATCTCTCCCAGGCTTCCTGTCACATCCAGCTCTTTCCGCTCCATCTCTGTCAAAGAATGGAGAGCAACCAAAACTATACTCCTTCACCCTTCATGGCTCCGCCTTCCTCTGGCACCAAGTCCGCTCTCTAGTTTCGATCCTCTTCCTCATCGGCCAAGGTCTCGAATCGCCCTCACTAGTCCCCCAACTCCTCGACATCACCGCCAACCCCACACGACCCAAATACGAAATGGCATCCGACGCCCCACTCGTCCTCTGGGACTGCATCTTCCCGCACGCGTCAGAGGTGCAAACCTCGGAAGAACGCGAACGAGGCTACGAAGACCGCCTAGAATGGGTATACATCGGCGACGAAGGCGGCAGCGAGCCCAAAGCCAGGGGAACAGGCAAAGGCGGCGGTCCCAGCACCATCGGACGCGGGAAATGGGGTCGCGGCGGCGTGATCGACGATGTTTGGGAGATGTGGCGGGGGAACAAGGTCGATGAGACGCTTTCGGCGCTTTTGCTGGATAAGATTGCGGGCTTGGGGCAGTCGACGCTGGATGCTGAGGTACCCGTTGAGCAGCAGAGTATTGGGATAGCGAGGGGCGGACCGCGGTTGTTTGATGGAGGGGATATTGGGAAGGCGAAGGGGAATTATACGCCGTTGCTGCAGAGGGAGAGGCAGGAGTCTGTTGAGGTGGTCAATGAACGGTACAGAGTGAGGAGAGGTATTGATGCTCGCGTTCAATCGGCAGACGATGACGGAGATGAGTAGATTACTGAAGGCGCGAGATAGAATCGGGTTTGCTCGTTCGACACGACATTACAATCGAAAAATGCCTGGTCGAGCAAAAGAGAAACTTCATTGGGTATCATGATTTGTTGCTGCATCTTCCAATCTTTGGCCACGGTAATCCATCCTTCAATCCCCCTTCGCCTTTTTTCACCTTAACCCCAATATTCCAAAGTCCACCACCCCCATTTAATCCCCAGTATTCAACTCCAAATCGATCTGCACGCCATTGCTAATAGCATAATCCTCACACGTCAAATTATCATGAAACGGCCTCTCCCCCTGCCTCTTGAGCATAATCTCATGTACCGGTCTGCCAATCTTGGCTGCCACCATGGCCTTCAACAGCTTGATAGGGTCGCTGGGCAGGCACGGCACTTGTGTTTTCGTTCCCAGACGGTCATTGATAGTGACGAGAATCATGTGCTCGGAAGGTGCCGCAGGAGCGGCTGCAGGTTTCTTCTCTTTGGGTTTGCTGTCGCGGTCGCTGTCTCGTGGTTTGCGGTCGCGAGAGCGGGAACGGCGGCGCCGGTCGCGGCTTCCGTCTCGTCTGCGCTCGCGGGAGTTGTCTCGAGGACGGCGGTCGCGTTCTCTGGAGCCATCGCGTCGGCGATCGCGATCGCGGTCTGAGTCTCGTGGTCGTCGCTCTCGGTCGCGATCGTCGCGTCGTCTGTCTGGGTCGCGGCGGTCGCGGTCGCCTTTGTACTTTAGGCCGCTGAAGTTTTTGGGCTTGCGCGGACCGGGGGATCTTCGTGGGGAGCGAGAGCGGGAGCGCTCTGTTTTTGAGGACTCCATCGCTAGTGGTGTGTGTATGAGATGTGTGTTGTGTTGGTGGAGAGGGAAGACCAAGTGCAGGTAAGGCAGCTTGGTGGAAAACGTGAGCTCGGCCTTGGGCTTATCGATAAGGAAGCTAGCAGGAGCGCGTCATCCCGTCCCGCGACGCTTCCTTTCACCCCCACATCCCGCCCTCTGTACTTGTCCTCGTCTAGCGATGCCTCCCTCGATTCAAATATGATGTTGAAGCTTATCGATCGCTTCAACTCTCCGCCGGCGCAGACGCTGCAAATACTGCAGCCCACATCGTCGACCATCACATACACCGTTTCGACGCGTTCTGCACCCAAGACACTTCCCGCTTTGGTAGCATACTATGCAGGGATACTGACGAGAGTGCTGCTGGGTATAACTAGCGTCCTGTTGCTATGGATGAAATGGCGCGTCACACAAGCTCAGTCTCTGGATCTGTCGCTGGGTGTATTGGGCCATGAGACAGAAAGGCAACTAGTAAAGCTGGTGGAAGCTTGCCAATGGCGATACCTGGTACCCAGTACATTGCTCATACTCTTCCTAGTCTTCCGCCGAAACTATACAGGTACATCCTTCGCCGTCTTCTCAGCCTCCCCTAAACCCAAGCTAATACAGATCATAGAAGAATCACTCACCGTACTCCGCGGCCTCGGTGTCCAGACCTCGACCACCTCCTCTACGTATCTCCAGACACCTACTACGCGCTTCATACCGACTACAAGTATACAGGACGTCTTCATACACGAGGCGTTCAAGGGGTTCGAAGTGAGATTCTTTCTCATGATCGTAGTGGAAGGAGAGGGAGAGGTGGTGGTCGTCTTTCCGAGACTGCTGCCGAGAAGAGCCACACTGGAGACTGTTTGGCGGGGCGTCAGGGGTGGGTTATGGGAAGATAGCGTCAGAGCGCCGACAGGGAAAACAGGGCCGTGATGAAAGCGGAGGACATCGTAGAAATGACATGTCATTTTACGTTTGCGGTGCGCATAACAATGGCCGAATGACCAAGACCTTATCTACGTCCCACATAACATCTGACGAGAAGTCTAAGTAAGCCTTCTCAGAGATATCGTGATAATGAAGTCGTACCTTCAAATTCGCTGCGTTACGACTTCCTACACACGGCTCCTCCATGTCTCCTGAACTCGGAGCAGGAACCGCGCCCAATCTCTTCCATACTGGTATCAATCTCCTACTGGTGTCCAAATCCCAAATACGCCATGAATCCAACCTGGTGCCCCCATCGTGAGCTTCCCCTCAATATCTGTACCTCGTAGAATAATCCTTCGGACTAACCACCAAACCCCGCCCCTTCTTCGCGCCCCGATAAACCGTCTCAATAATATCAATAAACTCCTGCTTATCCTCCAACACCCAATTCAGCTTGTTATTATTTCCTGTCCCGAAATCGCACATCATGTGTTTATTGCGGAAGAAGAACATGACGGTACATGGGTCGTAGAGCTCGTACATGGCTTTGAAATCGGGGACTTCGTCGAGGTCGCAGAGGTAGATGGCGCAGAAGTTCTTGACTCGGTCGGCGATCTTGTAGAGGACTTCGTCTTGTTGCATGCAGTCTGGGTCCGAGTCGCGCCCGAAGCGGATGAGGACGAGGCGGTCTTCTTCGCTGAGGATCGCTTGGTCGACGTGCCAGCCTGTACGGAGGTGGGGGAGGACTACGGAGCCCATGGTGGGTGGATGTGCGTGTGGAGCTGAACTTGGAGTTGGACGTGTGCGACCGTAGAAGATGGGTGGCCGAGCTGGTCGACGGCGAAGGCGGGCACGTTAGACTGGCTACGGTGAGTCGATATGTGCTTTGCGCGATCGTGCGACAAGAACGTGTAGCGCGTTGGGACGTTCGTATAATTATGTTTGCGCGATTCTTCAAGGTATGGGAGCGTTGAAAGAAAGTTAGTCGCGCCAGGCAGCTGCCGCCCGTGATCTAGAAAGTTCCCGAGGTCGCCCCACTGGACTTCGACCTTAACACATTGATACCTCTTACAATCCTTTCACTTTTTCCTGCGTGTAACACTTGACACATAAGGCGCGGTAGACTCCCTTCGTTCCGATAAACGTACACAGCACCTGGCAGCGGAATTCGGCCTGTGTGGTGCTCGATTGACTCCATAGACTCACCTCCCGGGCATGCAAACACTCTGCCTTGCCACTTGGGCAGACGTCGACGACAGCTGTACTGGCCTATAGCGCCATCAGGTTTCCGGCATACTTTACTTGACCAGTACCACGGAGCACGTCCATAAAGCGTCTGGGTTCTTGTCAAAGGCCCTACATCTGTCCTCCTGTCCTTGGCTGTATTTGCTTTTGTTGCAGCCTTCTCAAGTCTGTGTAACGTTCGTTTGCACTTTGCAGCTGACCGCCTCTCCTATAAAATTGATTTAATCCACATCTGCTGCTACCATGCGGGCACGTCGGCTGATGTACCAGCCGCCTGGGTGATGGCAAGAGGTGTAGTATTAACAAGCTGCAGACTGCCCGCTCGAGTCCCCCGGGAATCAATCGCATGTCCGTTGTGTGTGGGTACACTTTCGTAAGAACAGACTAGTAGAGGGGCCTAGTCCAGTCACAGGTAACTTACTCGAGTGCCCTGGGATGGGTGTGGGCAAAAGGTGTGCGGGACGGGGCGCGGGGGATCGGGAGTACCCATGGACTTGGCCGGTAGGATTCCGCTTTGATGCAGCACCAGGCATCCTCTCTACGCGTTTGTTGCAGCTTTATTAAAGTATGGAAACTTGCGAATCGTTGAGTACAACATTCACAGACTCTATGCTACGGAAACATTCAAGCTGTTCTCGGGAAAGTCTACCACTGTCACACGCCGCCATCTCACATCGATCGGGAAGGTCTGAGTCGGACCCAAATGCTATTTTTGGGATGGATTCGGGTGTTGCCGTAGGTCTATTTGTGCATGTGGGTGCTAATATACGTGTAGGCATCGTCAGGGTGATGCTGCAGTGCACCTATTGCATTAGCGAACAGCCAGAGTGAAGCATCATCGGTCTACTTCATCAGCGCACATCATGAGGACGTCGCCTTAACAGACACGGAGAAAGAAACTGGTTCGAGCAAAGCCGATTAGGGGGGTTCTTCCTGCGAAAATCTGTTTACAGAGTACAACCTTCGTCATGCCTGAGTAAACCTGCTGCGTCGTCGCATCGAACGACACACACCACGTTGATTGTTACGGTACTGCGAGTCGGACCGATATCATATTCAGCACCTGCCCATGCATACTACAGAAGAGAACTCTGTCATCCAACCGGCCAGTGGGTGTGCCACCTGTCCGATGTGCCAAGAGTAAATCCGTGACAACAGTCTGAAGGTAGGAGCACTTCTTCATGCTTGTTATATGGACGGAAACTCTGGCTCAGCAGATTTTATCCGCCTATTCCGTTGTTCATGTACTTGATGTATCTTTCAGATGATGGTGATGGGCGTCTGCTTGATTGTCTCGCCACGGCAAAACTTGACTGCTCTAATCCGCACTGGGTTGATGTCCTGCACCGCTTCCCCTTACCCCGTTTACGAGTATCGTACGATACAACTAGGCCTTACTAGAAATAGATCAGGACAATTGAGATGGTGTCGAGCAACACTAGTTGGTGGCAAAGAGAAGCATCTGCATGTGCAGACCAGACACCAACCAAAGACGTTGTTAGCAGTCCATCACATAGGGCTCAGAATACTATAGATGACTCAGCTGAGTAGGTCCGGTAAGTTCTATCATAGGCCCAAATCTTTCTTTGTTTTTCAGGCATCCGGCTCCAAGGGATACATCTGGTAGCCGAGAAATCTCAAGCTGTGCTGCAGCCAAGATTATTGATCCCTTTCTGCAGAAAGTATGAGACGAAGGGATTTGCTTTTGCTGCTCTGGAAGTCTACATAAGACCTCCAGTGCTCACTGAAAGCTTCAATACCATCAGCATCGCACCTTCCTCATCACAATCAGACTAACACTCTTCTCGACAATTCATCATTTCTCAAACATATCACAATGTCCGACTACACCGGCCCCGGATTGTACGAAATCCTGCCCAGATATGCTCCGGAGATGAGCTTGAACGTCTGGGGCGCAGCAACGACAGCCGGCACGCAAGTGAAGCTATAGTAAGTTACTCGAGCAGTCAGAGAGAGCATGTTGACTAACTTCATCCAGCCAGAGAACCAAAAGCGCCGACAACACTCATTTTGAGATCGTAGCAGCAGGAGGCACGGATGCCAAGCCCGAAAAAGGCGATCGTGAATACCACATCATCGCCGCCTGCTCTGGCCTCTATCTGACTTCGGCCGGTAATTCGAAACCAGACTGACATGTATGTTCTCCTCACATGGCTAACCTATCTAGGGCCAAAAGCTGGTTACATCAAGACGGAGCTTCGCAAGCCGCTCGACAGCACCATCCGCTGGAAGATCGTGCACTGCGGAAACGGTTCTTACCGGTAAGTGGCTCCGTACAGCCCCACTTGGCCTTGAGTTCGCTTTCTGACGCGCGTGTGCATGTGTTAGTATCAACAATGTCGATGGGAAGACGCAGCTCAATGTCGCTGGTGGTGGCAAGACCAGCGGCACCGACATGATTGGTTGGCAATTTTCTGACGGCTCTGAGAACACGGAGTTCCGTCTCATGGCTGTTTAAGTGATACGGGGGAGACTCGAGTTTATTGTCTTGTGTTGAACAGGATTGTAGAATCTGTCGCTCACTTACAAAGTCCATTCAATCAACAGGCTGATATGCTTCCGAATGATTGTGATGGGTGATGAGGCTTGTGCTTTCAGTGAGACGACGCTAACAGCTCACTCATCAGTCCCTTATTACCTCTGCCTAGGTTAGTATCGATGCATGTTAGAAGTATGTCTTGGCCACTGCGCACTTGTTGACAGCTGACTTCATGTGAGGTTCAGCAACTTTCACGGTCTCTTCCTCATATCAGACAAACGTTGCTTTCCTTGGTTGTTACATGTAAAATATATCGATACACTAGACTATTTTCCCATGGAAGGGACTACAAAGTGTACCTGTAGAAAGGACTCTTATCACCCATAAGCAACAACTCCTGCTCGGAGTATCTCGCGCGAATAGCCTCCTCTCCGTGCTCAGCAATCAGCTCATCTCTCTTGCGGTTCTCCTTCGCATACGCCCACCTCAATACCAAAGTCATGAGAATAGCGGTGCAGCACATGGCCAAACTGGCCGAGAAACCTGTCGTGTACTTTGGTGCCTCGCGTGACAAGTACACGTTGCTGCCCATGATACCACCCATGTTTCCGACGGAAATAAGCAGAGCCATGCCGACAGCGCGTTTTGACGATGGGGCGAGGGAGTTGCCGATCCAGGAGACGAGACACGTGAAGGGGCAGTAGAGACCACCAGCGACGGGGAAAAGGAAACCGTAGGTAATGCCAGGGTATGCGGGCTTTGGAATCGCAAGCTGAGCGATGAAGCCACATACAGCGATAGAGTAGCCTGCAATGATGTACGGGGAGCGCTTGCGGGTCAGATCGGAGGCCCACGCGAAGATGAGGGTAAGAATAGCGGCGAATACGTAGATGGGGATCGTGAGGAGCTGAGCGTTGGCACTGGTATATCCGAGTCCTTGAATGACAGAGGGCACGGTCGCGGTGAATCTGTATGAAACTGTCAGAGAGGAACCGGCAGCAAAGCTGGATGTCTTCAGCTTACCCATAAACACCAACAGTGTTTCCCCAAAAAATCACGGTAGCAGCCCAGATCTTCCAGTCAGAAAGACCAGCAAGAATTTGTTCTTTTCCAATCTTGTCGCTGTTGGTGGCTTGTCCCTGGCCAGACCCGGAGTCGTTGGACAACCGGGTAACAAGCAAGTCGCGCTCCGGTTGTGTCAGAAACTTCGCAGTCTCTGGGCTATCGGGGAGGATCTTCCAGATGATAAGCGCGAGCGCTACTGGAATCAACCCCTCTATTAGAAAAATCCATTGCCATCCTGCGAGTCCAGAGCGTCCATCAAGTTGTTCGATACCGTAGGCGAGGAGACCGCTGAAAGCACCGGCGAGGGAGGCGGCTACGTAGAAGACAGCCATACGGCGCTGAAGTTCGAAACGGCGGTACCAGAGAGTAAGCAAGAATGTTGCTGCTGGGAAGAAGCCAGACTGCGAATGTAAGCAAGTGTTCTTCAGCTTGAACCAAGAGGTTGGAGACGTACCTCTGTCACACCCAAGAAGAATCTTCCGGCGAGCAGACCACCGTAACTGGACGTGAGTCCCATCAATGTCATGACAAGACCCCAGCAGAACATCAGAATCGCCATCCAATGACTTGGGCGCATCATCTTGAGCACAATGTTGCTGGGTACTTCGAGGATCGTATACGGGACGAAAAACAGGGTGACGGCAGTGTTGTACTGGCTACCGTTCATCTTGAGATCATCTGTCATGCCAGCAATCTTCGCGTTACCGACTACAGCACGTTAGCAATTCGTCTCAATGTCTTTCAAGAATAAGAATCCTCGAACGTACTGTTACTCCGATCGATAAACGCAACAAGATAGAGGAGCGAGAGCATAGGAACAAGTCTCATGTCAACCTTCCTCAAAACGCGCGCTGCCTCCTTCTCCTCCAGTTCGACATTTTGCGCTTCAAGCTCGCCAGTTCCGGAGGAGTTCGAGATCTTCTCCGCGACATTCTCAGCCCGCTGGTGC